ACCGAGTACATTAATCTTTAAACTGCCGCAGAAAAGTATTAAAAAGCCGCTTAATTTTCTGCTTAGCGGCAATCAAGTTGAATGGCTGATTGTTAATACCTCATGGTGGTTGTTGCGGATACTGCCATCCGAATAAACTGTTGGGGAATGTTGCCGAACTTCTAGGGTTCTCATGGGGTCTTGCATATTTATCAGTGAAACAGATTGCTTGCGTTCCACATTATTTCTTTGAGAATTTAATCACTCACCAATATATCAGGCAGGAGAAGAAAAGCAACATTTATCAACCTTGGTTGGGGAAGTCATCGAATACAGAGGAAAGACATTGTCTCAAATAGAACTATCGACCGTGGGAAAATGCTACGAGCATATATTTGACGGCCCAATAATGATAGTTGAATTGCGAAGATTCCCATCAGAGAATTCAGAAGTCCAGTTTGGCGAGTATACGTTTACTTTCGACAAATTCTCGTCAGGCCTTACATTTATATGGAAAATGAGTGCGAGGTCAAACGCGTTCGTGAACGTGAACTCGCACCCAGTTTCCATATAAATGTAAAGCCTGACGAGAATTTGCCGAAATTACACGTATACTCGCCAAACTGGACTTCTGAATAGCTGAATTGTTTTTTGGTGCATTTTTCTTCACCCAGCTCATAAGTTCTGCATTCTTGCTTAAAATATTGCACACTGCGCTGTCTAAACGGATGTGGAGATGACTGACTAACCTTACTAACAACTCACTTTGACTGTCAATAACTTTAATTGGCGGAAAACAGAGAACAGCAGTCTACCCGTACAGAGCACCAAATATGGTGACACGTTGACCGTGCAGGGTCGTTATAAAGGCCCTTTAACTATCACAAACTTTTGTTTAGACCCTAACACACTCGATTCCTGGATAAACCAACCCTGGACCAGCAATCCTTATGGCCTTTGCGGACACATCTATTACAAAGTCCAGAAGCGGCTCAAGCAAACTGAGACCGGTTAGATTATACCCGATCTAAATCCGTCAAGTGGTTTTTTACTGGGTCAAACTATACTTCGATTTGCAAAATAATTAGTCATTGAGACGCTCCATTGTCTAAAAATAGAGGCGCTCCGATCACGTTATATGAGTACATCTATTTATAAAACTTATTCAGGTTGCCTCACCTAACAAACCTGATCCAGACTTTAAAATAAGTTCCGTTTATGTCAACTATGTAGAATGATTGGGAGGTCAGCTCATCATACATTCATGATTAAACTTAACGTCTTCAGTCTGTTTTTAACTCGCCAAAATTCAGCCATCTGGTCCCTGTATTCCTGCGCGCGCGCCGACTATGTTTTAACACCCCTTGCTTTTTTTATTACTTAACTTATTTTGATTCCTGGCTTTTGCTTTCTAGCGGGTGACTTAAGCCCGTCCAATATTTGGCTTATTGAAACCGTCCTGGATCTTCTCATACGAAATAGGTGAGCACCACGACCTTTGCTTTATTAACTATGCGATACTCATTCTAC